TGGGCCCAGTCTGTCCTGACACAGACACCCTTGGGGTCTGTGGCTATGGGACAGAAGGTCATCATTGCCTGCTCTGGAGGCAGCAGTGATTCTGGAGGTTATAGTTAGGTGCCCCGGTATCAAGAACACTCATGTGCTGCCTGACGCTCCCAATGCACAAGGTTGTCCTGGGGCCTCCGTCCATTCTCCGGCTCCAAGTCAGGCCACATGGCCTCACTGACCTCTTTGGGCTTTAGCGGGAGGACTAGCTGCGCACTATTATTGTTCTCTTTCAAGGAGTATCCCTTACCCTCAGGGGTCTGAGCCCACAGAGAAGTGACAAAAACCTTCCTAGGCTCACTCACTCTGCCCCTGCTTGACACCAAACAGGAGTCAAGTGTCTGGGGTCTGTAGACAGCCTTACTCCTTCACTCCAAGCAGAGGTTCTAAACACAACTATGGCTTTGGGAAATAGGGTCCCCAACACACTAGAGCTGCTTCTTATAAAAAAGCAACAGGACAGGGGCACCTGGGTGGCTCAGTCAGTTAAGCATCTGCCTTTGGCTCAGGTCGCGATCTCAGCATCCTGGGTTCGATCCCCCACTGGGCTCCCTGCTCAGTAGGGAGTCTGCTTCTCCTTCTCCCTCTGTCCTTCCCCTCCCCCCTTGTGCTTTCTCTCTCTAATAAATAAAATCTTTAAAAAAAAATCAACAGGACAAATGCTCCATTGGGGAAATGACTAGAAAGTATAAAGGTTGCTCCTGCAACTTCCTCCCCTCTTGAGCATCCTCAGGATGCAGATTCCATCCAGCATCTTGATGACAAGAACAAACGGAACAACAGGGTTTCTTGATACACCTGAGACAGTTCAGGGGACCAGCTTACCTGAAGATGTCTTCCGTCCACTCTGGTCCAGCTCAGACTGGCCTCAGGTCGTCCAAATACTTCGTTTCCCTGGTCTCCTATCCCCTCAGTCACCTGCGTCTACCCAAGTCTGAGAGCAAGAACCAAAATGCTCCAGAAACAAAGAGACTGTGTGTTAGCACGTGTATTTAGCAAGCCACGGGCTCCTATGAAAATCTCTGCGAACACTGCTGAGAAAAATGGAAAACCGGAGACCTGACCCTGCCCGTTCACCGGGAATCTCCTCTAATCTCCAAATCCGACCAACAATTTCCCATGGGCTGAACCAGAGGACAAGTGGAGTGACAGACCCTGTGCTCCGTCAAAAGCGACCCTTCCTTCGAGGACACGGCCCACGTTCCGCCCCTGCTTCTGCCCCCCACCCCATACCCCGGCACCTCCTGAGGGGCCAGATTCCTAGAGCAGCCACCCCATTTCAAGTGCACACCCGTCCAACCAGTGAGATCAAACAAAAAACGGAGACGCCCGAGTTCGATGAATTGTTACGTCTGACATTCATAAGCGCGGCCGCTCTTACGGAGCAGGTGGCCTGGGCTGCCCTGAGCCAGAGCACACCGTCTGGTCTTCACTCCGACCCTCTGTTGTGATAACTCACTTTTCTGAAGGCAAACAGAAGTGGGAGTTGGGGGGAGGGCGGTTTACCAGTGATTAGTCCAAGGTCACCCCGCAAGAAAGAGGAGGATCCAGGGTTTGAACTTACGCTTTCTCCAGACCGCGCACCCGCCACGTGGTCTCTGCGGCACCAAGCCTGGAGGGAAAGGAAGCCCGCTGACTCAGCAAGCCGCCCTGCACTCGCCCCCCCCGGAAACAGCCTTATGTGACCAATCCTGGTTTCTCTTTCCTTCAGGGCGAAATCTCACGAGATCCTAGGATCACGAGCGGGGTTGTCCAGGGAATCCAGAAGGGGTATGTTTTAATAGGCTGGGCGGGGACTCGGCGATGGGGAGGGGCGGTGCCTGTTGGCCACGCCCACCTGACTGTGCCAGGTGCCGGAGTGGGGGGCATGAGAGTGGGGGTCGGGGATGGGAAGGATAAGGGTGGGGTTAATGGGGGTATGGAGGGTGGGATGGGGTAAGGGAGGTGGGGAATGGGGGATGGGGTGGGGTGGAATGAGGGAGGGATGGAGAAGGAGAGGGACGAGCCCCCCTACCACCCCCCCCGGGCCTATGCTTGGGGACCTATTTCTCTCTGTGGGGTGTGGGGTGCCGGGACCCTGAGTGAGGCTTCTAGCCCCACTCCCACCTCCCTTGTCTAGAAAAGATGTCCTTGCCCTTGGCCTGTACAATGCTCCCTACTCCCTGGACTTTACCGCTTATGTAACCTCTGGGGGAGAGAAGACCCCTGTCAGGATTTGATTAGATTGTCCTCTTTCCAGAGCGTGCTTTCCTCAGTTGCCCCCTTGGATTTGGCTTTCCAGAGCTTTTTCAGAAGCCAGATTCCTGCGTTCGCTCGACTCCCCTCCCCCAACGCTCAGATAACTTCAGCTTTCACAAGTCCTAAATGCGGGGCTTCCCCCCTTTCACCAACAAATACCTTTTGACAAAGTCAGGACTAGACCGAAGGCTGAAAATGTGGGCGGACTGTCGTGAGGAGGCAGCAGGTCAAGGATGCTGAGGAGAGGTGGAGAGGCACTCACCACAGCCTGGTGTTCAGCTTCTCCCAGAGCTGTGCCTGCACCCTTGCGATTTTGTGTCTCTGGCCACCAGGGGGCACTGGGGATCTGGAAGCCCGAATGTTTTTGCAAGGCCTGTGTCAGGTTTGGACACCAGCTTCCTGCCAGTACGTTTGTGGGGAGAAAAGTAAGGCTTCTGGAGAGATGGCAAGACCCAGATGGAGGAGGATTCTTTCCTGGTGAAGAGAAGAGAGAGGGGTTACGAGCAAAGCAGAGGTCGACTGTACTTCAATTAAAAAAAAAAAAAGGGCAAGGTGGGGGCCCCATGCCTCCTTCAAGCTGGCCTGAAGGACTATATTCTGCCTCCTCAAACTCTGAGACTGTGTTTTTCTGGAGGGGGAGGTGGGGACTGGGTCTGGCATTGTGTCCTTGTTATGCAAGTGGTCCTAAATCTGTTACCACAGGCCATAGGAAGGTCGTGGGGGCTGAGAGTAACAGGGCAGTAAAGCCTGGGTAGTTTTCCTGGATCTACTTTGCCATTCCCCCAATATCCCCAAGCCTGGGAGCTATTTCAGCCACACAGACAAATGAATGTATGAATACATAGGTACATACCAATGAGGCCACTGCGTTGATCCCCAGTTGACCTATGATCATCACCTAGAACAGAGCTAACTAAAAACTCAATTTTTTCTGCTCGGATCTGGAGACACTCAGCCTCTCTTTCCCTCTGGTCTTCTGGATTCATTCAAGGAACATTTGTCCTTGAGTGGTGCTGATGCAACCCTCAAGCAGATATACTCAGTCTTTGGCTCATAAAGTTTAGGGTGAAAACTAAAAAATAAACAAATAACAACCCAAAACAAGAAGCTATTGTTTTAAAGTGGCAAGTTGTAACTAACTCTGAAGAAAACAAAGGGGCTGATATGGAAAGTTAGAAAGGCTGGCAGGCTCCCCCTGGTTGCTCAGGATCCTTCTCTGAGGCCTGAGCAGGAAGCAACCTTGGGAGCTTAAGAGGATCCTGGACAAAGGGTTCTGAGCATAGGGAAGGACTGAGCAAATCCTAATAGAGTAAAGTGCTTGGCCCACTTGAGAACAGAAAGAAAAAGACTGGTTCAGAGGGGTGGGTGATGACAGCCGCAGAGGGGGGCAGTGGATGCATCGGTCAGACTTGAAATGAAAAGGTGATCCCTTTGAAGATTGCCCATGCTTATTTCCATAATCTGATTGCTGTTTTCAGACTGACTGCAATTGATACACTAAAAGGACGATGTCTATAATATTTTAAAGCAAAATGCAGGTCACATGATTGATTATATCATGCAATTCCATTCATACAAAATTAAACATGAATATACCGTTCATTCATTGCTTCAAGTAATCCTTACAAATGTTTACCGTATTCCTGGGAGAGAATGAAAATTATATGGGCTCTACCTTCTGGGATATACGTAATAAGCATGCCAAGATGTCCAGAAGATGGTCACTAAAATAGCATTGGTTATATTAAAATACATTTCTGTATTTATTCGAACTTTTTCTATCATAATTTTTTTTCCTTGGCCAGTGATGAAAAAATAGAGTTATTTTCATTTTTTAGGAATACGAAAAAAATAGTCAACCCACACTCAATTATAATGATCACAAAGGAGACTTTTAAAACCTTCACTGAGGGGACGCCTGGGTGGCTTGGTCGGTTAAGCGTCTGCCTTCGGCTCAGGTCATGATCCCAGAGTCCTGGGATCGAGCCCCACACGGGGCTCCCTGCTCAGTGGGGATCCTGCTTCTCCCTCTGCCTGCCACCCCCCTGCTTGTGCTTTCTCGCATGTTCTCTCTCTCTGACAAATAAATAAATACAATCTTTAAAAACAAAAACAAACAAAAACCTTCACTGAAGGAAGACAGGGAGGGGAATGCGTTTGAAGGAGGCTATTCTGCCATGTGTCTGAAGCTGAGGGAGGCTGGGTCTAGGCTGACCCATGGGAAATGAGACAGAGGAAAATATTTTCTTCGATGATCACCTAAAGTAAACCTGAAGAGGAAAGAACCTGGACTCTCCACCTAACTGTGCTGGGGATAAAAGTCATAGAGCACCAACTAATGGAAACATTGGCTTTTTGATTTTATAGCCAGATTCATGCAAGGATGCTGTGAATATTAATACTTTCTTAGTTTTTTTCAGACGAAGACACTGGGGCTAGAATGGACAAGCCACTGGTCCAAGACAGAGCTGGATGAACAAGGAAGGAATTTAGGGCTGTGAAATTGTAGGGTGGGCCTCCTTGCCCCCAGTGGGGGACTTCTCTACATTGTGCTCCCATGACACCCAGTGCACAATAGGCTCTTGATTTAGTAACACATCCCTGCAAGATTAAGCTGATAGGGAAGGTCTTGGGGAGAATTCCAGATGGCTGGTGTGCATTCCCTAGGCTGTGTGTCCTGATTTGGGGGAACCACCACTTTTGAAAATTCTTTTGGGTTAGCTATGAATGAGCTCAGAGGGAAGGGTTGGAGCCTTCAGAAAGTGGGCAGCACCCTTTCACCCCAGACTCAGGCTTCTGGCAGAGACTGGGCTTGCACAGGGCAGGAGAAGCCTCCTCCTGAGTGGTGAGAGACTAGTTGTGTGGGGAGAAGAACTCACTAGAAGGCCAGGTGCTCACTGACAACTGACGGCGGTACTTCTGCATTTCCAGTTCCCATAGATCCAGGCTTAAAGTAACTTCTTGGGAAGAGGACTTAGGTACCCGCCTCCACCTTTCCTGCCTGGGGCAGGGCATCTGCATGCTCCCCTGGGTGCTAAGTGTCAGGACTAGGGGCAAAGGAGGAATTAAGAATCATCAGAGCCCAGGAGCAAATTTGCATGGAGACCCGTCTTGCATCTCAAAACATGCAGAGGGGATAAGAGAGTCTTGAGTGTCCTGTCCAAGTATTGGGGTCTCAGGAGGCAGAGCTCTGGGGTATCTTCACCACGACCTTGGCTCCACTTCTCTTCCCCTCCTTACTTATGGCACAGGTGAGTGTCCCCAAGAAGAGGTCATGTGGGTGCCTGGACTGACTCTTCTGTCCCTGTCCCCAGGCTCACGTGGGTCACCGTCTCTGCAGTTCTCCTTCCTTCTGGGTCCTGGGCCCAGTCTGCCCGGACCCAGCCTCCCTCCATGTCTGGGACTTCGAGACAAATTGTTGCATCTCTTGCAGTGGAAGCAGCCGCCACACTGGGACTTACAACCCTGCCTTCTGGCACCAACAGTGTCCGGAGCAGCCCCCACACTCCAGAGAGATGCTGTGAGTTCTCTGCCTTCGGGGCTTCCAGCTCTATTCTCAGGCTCCGGGGCTGGCAACACAGCCTCCTTGACCATCTCTGGACTGCAGCCTGAGGGCGAGGCTGATTATCACTGATTGTCCAGGGACAGCCAGAGCATTTATCTGCAGGGCTCCAAGCCCATTGGAACTAAGATTAAAACCTGCATTAAGCACTCAGTGTTTCAAGGCTTCACACCAAATGGACAGTCAGGCTGTGGTTTCTCCTGTCCTTTCTGCTCATCATCCCAGGGGCATGGGTGCTTCAGGAATGGGACCCCATACAACTCCTGTTGCTCTTTATGATGACGTAGGAAAGAGAAACAGTCTCCCAGGGCACATAGCTTTGCAAAAATGAAAATAAAAGCTCCCTTCTTCCTCTGTGGCCTTGGGATACAGACTCTGTCTCCCTCTTCAGTGGCAAGACCAGGGGAAGAACAAGGGCTTCCCACTGGGCTGAGACAGTTCAGGGGCCGCATCGCCTGGAGACATCTCTCTGTACCTCAGTGTGGATTCAGGCACTCCAGCACTCAGCGACACAGGTCTTCCTCCCTCTGACCTGTCTCTATGTGGATTGGACCAAAGTGACCCAGACGATCCAGGTATTATTATTCAGGTTTTCTATTGCTGTGTAAGAAATTACCACAAATCTAGTGGCTTGAAACAACACCCATTTATCACTCCACTTTCCCTGAATCAGCTTAGCTGGGTCTTCTGCTCAGGGTCTCCCCAACCTGACATCAAAGTATGGTGGCTGAGTTCTATTCCACCAGCTCAACTGAGAATCTCCTTCCAAGTTAATTGGCAGAATTCATTGCCTTGCTGGTGTATGGCTAAAGCCTTAGCCTTTTGAGGGCCTTTGGTGGTCAGCACTCCTAGTTCTAGCAGTGGCCCAAAGCATCCTGTTTGCTGTTTGCTTCTTCCTGACCAGCAGGGGGACCTCTTTTTCCAGTTTGCTAAGAGGGAGTCTTCAAAAAAAAAATTATTTTTTTTAATTGAAGTAGAGTTTACACATAATGTTATACTAGTTTCAGGTGTACAACGTAGTGATCTGACAACTCTAGACATTATGCTGTGCTCACCACAAGTGAACTGCCACCTGTCACCATACAAGGCTTTTGCAATATCCTATTCCCTGTGCCGTACCTTTCATCCGACTTATTCATTCCATGACTCAAAGCCTACACCTCCCACTTCCCTTTCCCACCCCCAACCCCACCCCCCAGCAACCATCAGTTTGGTCTATGTATTTATGGGTCTGTTTCTGCTTTTTTCTTGTTTTTTTCATTTGTATTGTTTTTGTTTTAGATTCCACATATACGTGAAATCATATGGTGTTTGTCTTTCTCTGACTTTTTTCACTTAGCATAATGCCTTCTACATTGTAAATGGCAAGATGTCATCAAGAGGGAATCTTATATCACGTAATGTAATCATGGAAGTCACATCTGGCCACGTTTTCCATTTAATGTAACCTAATCAAGGAGAGACATCCCCTCACCTTTGCCATATGTATTGATTGGAAGCAAATCACAGGTTCTTCCTAAATTCTAGGGGAAGAGATTATGCAAAAGTCACTACGGGGTGCATCCTCCACAGTCCTCAAACAAGGAGACTGACAAACCATTTTTAAGTTCAAGTCCATTTTTAAAGTGTGAGAAAGTTCTGCAAGTTTTGCTGAGGGAACAGCAAGAAATAGGAGACTTTGATCTTAAGCTTTCAGTGTCCCTGCAGTCATACCTTTTAGTTCATGGTCTTCAACCAGGGGAACATTTATGTGACTGACCACTGTGCTGCCCCATACTAGCCCCTCCCCTCTGCTCTCTGAGCACTGTCCTGAAACCAGGTCTCACACCATCAAGCACTTTTTTGGGGGGGATCTCTTTAGTACACAGGGCTCCTGTATGCCCCCAACTTTACATCTCTTTAGACAGTTTTTCTTTAGACATTTCAACCAAAGCAACATACTGCAGCAGACTGAATGCAGAAGTCGATGTGCACATCCAAATATTTTGCATTAAGGGAGACATTAAAAAGATTTGCAGAAATATAAAAACAATGTAATGCCTCATGAATGTTTTTCTAATTTTTGAATATAGTCCTATCTCATTTTATTGCACTTTGCAGATGACTTTGTTTTACAAATTGAAGGTTTGTGGCAATCCTGCATCGAGCAAGTCTAGCTGTGCCATTTTTCCGTTAGCGTTTGTTCACTTTGTGTCTCTGAGTCACATTTTGGTAATCCTCACAATATTGAAAACTTTTTCACTATTATTATATTTGTTGTGGTGAACTGTGATCAGTACTTGTGACTCACTGAAAGCTCACATGATGGTTAGCAGTTTTTAGCAATAAAGTATTTTTAATTAAGGTATGGACTTTTTTAGACATAATGCTATTGCACACTTAATAGACTGCAGTATGGTATAAACATAACTTTTATATGCACTGGGAAACCAAAAAATTCATTTGACTGACTTTATTGATATTTGCAATGTTGATTTAGTGATATTCACTTTATTGCAGTGGTCTGGAACCAAACCCACAATATATCCCAGATATGCTTGTACATAACAAAATATATCTCACTTCTACTTATTTACATGTACTTGGCTTAGTTATGTATAATTAAATTAATAAATATTTATAAAATGTTTCTCAATTTTAATTAATCTGGTAAAGGTTCAAAGATGTTATCCACATGAACAAAAGCTTTGGGGGATCCTTAGTAATTTTTAAGAATATAAGAAGGTGCTGGAAATGTCCACAATAGCCAAACTGTGGAAAGAGCCAAGATGTCCATCGACAGATGAATGGATAAAGAAGCTGTGGTATATATACACAATGGAATATTATGCAGCCATCAAAAGGAATGGGATCTTGCCATTTGCAACGACTTGGTTGGAACTGGAGGGTGTTATGCTGAGTGAAATAAGTCAGTCAGAGAAAGACGTGTATCATATGACCTCACTGATATGAGGAATTCTTAATCTCAGGAAACAAACTGAGGGTTTTTGGGTTGTTGGGGGTGGGAGGGATGGGGTGGCTGGGTGATAGACATTGGGGAGGGTATGTGCTATGGTGAGTGCTGTGAATTGTGCAAGACTGTTGAATCACAGATCTGTACCTCTGAAACAAATAATGCAATATATGTTAAGAAAAAAAAAGAAGAAGAAGATAATAGCAGGAGGGGAAGAATGAAGGGGAGTAAATCGGAGGGGGAGACGAACCATGAGAGACGATGGACTCTGAAAAACAAATTGAGGGTTCTAGAGGGGAGGGGGGTGGGAGGATGGGTTAGCCTGGTGATGGGTATTAAAGAGGGCACGTTCTGTGTGGAGCACTGGGTGTTACACTCAAACAATGAATCATGGAACACTACATCAAAAACGAATGATGTAATGTATGGTGATTAACATAACAATAAAAAAATTTAAAGAAAAAAAAGGTGCTGGAAACAAAAATTTGAGAACTGCTGACTTCTGACAGTTGTTTACAAAACAATAAAAGTATGGCTTTTCCCAAGTGGTGAGATGTTTAGTGATGATTCTTTTCTCTATATATAGTTGCATTGTTAATGAAACTCATGCAAGCCATCCTAACAGAGTTTGTGAGTAGGGTCATGACATAACCTCGGGTACATTTCAAGGTCCCTGTGGTTGCTGTATGATCCTTGTGGGAGATCCTGGCTTGCATCTGAAGGGCTTTATAGACATTTTGGAGGTAGAATCAGCAGGACTTGCTTTTGGAGAGGATTCAAGTCATAAGGGTAAGTGAAGGGTCAAAGGTATCGCCTGGAACTTCAGCTTGACCCCCTGACATTGGGAAGAATGAGAAAGAAGCAAATATGAAAACATATCTAAGAAGGCTTTTGGGGCCATGTTAGATTTGAAATGTCTCTAGTGCTGGTGTGAAAAACAATATCAAGTGCAGCTAAGCACATACAATATAATCCTCTTCACTAAAATCATAAATATATGTAGTAATATTTATTCATTTTCTTCTATTCATTCAATAACCAGCTACTGATGCTTTCCATGGACTTTGTAATATTCAGGGGGTGCTGGGCATAGAATCATGAACAGAGCATTAAAAATCTGGGTCTTAATGGATTATGTCTAATTTATGCTGGCAACACTCTTTTGGATGCCTAATGATGTATTTGGAACATGGTCTCTAAAAGGAAGACTCTGGCAAGAATTCCTTTTTTTAATTTTAATAATATATTTTATTATTAAATGTAGAACACACATTGGGTTGTGTTGTATTCAAAATATTATCATTTCAACACATAGTATTTTAAAGGTCATTAATGAGATATTTTACCTTCAGTTTTCTGGTACTAAGTCTTCTAAATCTTTCACAGTTCACTGCAATTCAGACCCTAAACTTTTATCAGTAATGCGTGATCTGTATTTAGAGTTCATAAAATTTGGTTGAAAAAGTAGATTCATTCACATACTCAAGTTGCTCCAAATAATAACTGAATGATCATATTTTAAATTTAGATTGAGTTAAATTAAAAATTCGATTCCTCAGGTTCACTAGATATATTTCAAGTGCTTAATAACCATGGGCAGCTAGTGGCTACCATATTGGACATTGAGCCCCTGAGCATCTATTATGTACATCACAGCAGATAAGACAGGGTTGAGTGATGAGTCATACACAACCCGTTTCCAAGGGTGGGGGAGAGGGTGTTAGTGTCGGTAGGATTGGGGCCCAGGAGAAGCCATGGTAAATAGTGTGTTTACCTCTGTGTGGCAGTTGCAGCCACAATCAGAGCACAGTAAGGAGCCCTTGTTTGGGCACCAGGGTCCCTCACCACTGTCCAGGGGCTCACTAAGGTCTGTGCTGAGCAGAGGTCTGTGGACTCTGCCCAGTCTCCAAGAAGGAGGAGGGTTAGGCTCACAGATGTGCTCCAGTGCTCCTGGATTCCAATGACACTGAGAGATGAAGGAATGCTTTACAATATGTATATATACCATGAACATTTCAGACTATAGTGAAACTCCTGAATGAACTTGGACTTACTTCTGGAGTCCTGTGGTTTTAGCTCTTCTCCCTTGAGTAACCTCTGCTCAGCACCTCTGTCTCCC